TTTATTCTTTGGGGGTGAAACCCTCACATGGTACCTTCATTTTTAAAATTGTTTCCTCAAGGGGATCAATTAAAAATCAGATTAACCAATTTGACATTTCCCAAAATTGGAAATCGCACCTAGTTTTTGTCATTTGGGGGTATATTTCGTAATAGGGAGAAAGGACTAGCAAAAAGAATGCCTGATCAAAATGATGCTGATTCTGTGTGTTACAATCTTTTTGCCCACTACAGTGTCTACAGGGTTACAAGGGATGCCGTGCCAGCTAGAGTCCCAAGTCCATTCAACCAACACCCTAATCGATGAAGTTGGACTTGTTGAAAAGGAAGTGGGACTGGACCAGTTGACATGGGGCGATGCTGACCTTCAACGGGAGCTTCGGCGCCTGAAGGACAACAGTTTGAAAATTCCGAACCTGAAATATATTTTCAAAATTGCCTTACTAAGAGTGATCCCCACCCTGACACACTATTCTGACATAGTTTCTGACATATCATCTGGACGTATATGTGGCGTATATGTTCTGACATACTATCTTACATTCTTTTCTGAGATTCTATTTGACATTCTTTCTGGCATCCTATCTGGCATCTATTCTAACATACTTTCTGGAATATACTATATTCTGATCCTGCCTTGCCATGAGTTTGGGCTGGGAGTGCTTTTATTTGCGTGGATCAATGCCAATGGCTTGAATATCCACCAAATGTTGGTTTCACATGTTTGCACCCAATGATTGCCATTACCATTGATACCCCAAAAATGGCCAGGTCCTGAATTTGAGAGTAGGTCCTGAAAAGTTTTCTGGGTACTGAAAAAACAGGACTTTGGCACAGGGTCTGAAAAAAGACGTAGGTGGAAGATTCAGGTATGCTGTTGGGTTGCAAAGCTGGGTTAATCTGAGAGGTTTATCCTCGGATTTCCCACCGCTCAATTTCATCAGTTTTCAATGGGTAAATCATGGTAAATCAATACAACAAATCTATCAATGGTGGATGTTCCATTGTCATACTTGTTTCCCAGTTGATGTCGTTGATACAAAACTCCGACCCACACAATGAGAATCTGAGTCAAACAAAGGAGATGCTGACTCCCAGCATCAAGGACGAGATTTTCTGGGATGTCTACCCTGTGATGCAGGAACTCTGAACCACCAAGAAATTTAAAATATCCCGGAGAGCGTGCAGAAGGGCACGAATTTGATTTTGGCAAAGGCGGCCACTTGCGGCCACTTGCTCTGGCGGCCACTTGCGGCCACTTGCGGCCACTTGCGGCCACTTGCTCTGGCGGCCACTTGCGGCCACTTGCGGCCACTTGCTCTGGCGGCCACTTGCGGCCACTTGCTCTGGCGGCCACTTGCGGCCACTTGCGGCCACTTGCGGCCACTTGCTCTGGCGGTCACTTGCGGCCACTTGCGGCCACTTGCGGCCACTTGCGGCCACTTGCGGCCACTTGCGGCCACTTGCGGCCACTTGCTCTGGCGGTCACTTGCGGCCACTTGCGGCCACTTGCGGCCACTTGCGGCCACTTGCTCTGGCGGCCACTTGCGGCCACTTGCTCTGGCGGCCACTTGCGGCCACTTGCGGCCACTTGCTCTGGCGGTCACTTGCGGCCACTTGCGGCCACTTGCGGCCACTTGCGGCCACTTGCGGCCACTTGCTCTGGCGGCCACTTGCCGCCACTTGCGGCCACTTGCCCTGGCGGCCACTTGCGGCCACTCGATTGGCTGCAAGTGGCTGCCAGGCGTGGGTGAAACTATATTTTTCACCATTCATCTTCTCTTGGGCGGAGAATATTGGGAATTTTCCGTTGCCTGCGCACGGAAAATTTATAACATTCTCCGTGGGCGGAGTCTTGGCAATGTGAAGTATTGTACTGTCCTCATTTCTTTGAGTGAGGCACGGCCAAAATGAAACGTTCTAGGTGTGGCTTCTCGAAGCTCTCTTTTTTTCGTTGCAGCGTTGTCCTCCTCTTTTAATAAGTCCTTCCTCTTAATTGCTTCTCCTTCCTTTTCGTTTAAACTCGTGCGTTTTCGTTGTGGGTCTTTCCCTGTCGTTCGAAGTCTCTTTTTCTTTCGTTGCAGCGTTGTCCTCTTCTTTTAATAAGTCCTTCCTCTTAATTGCTTCTCCTTCCTTTTCGTTGGACAACGTGCGTTTTCGTTGTGGGTCTTTCCCTGTCCTTCCAAGTCTCTTTTTTTTCGTTGCAGCGTTGTCCGCTTCTTTCAATAAGTCCTTCCTCTTACTTGCTTCTCCTTCCTTTTCGTTGGAACTCGTGCGTTTTCGTTGTGGGTCTTTCCCTGTCCTTCCAAGTCTCTTTTTTTTCGTTGCAGCGTTGTCCGCTTCTTTCAATAAGTCTTTCCTCTTAATTGCTTCTCCTTCCTCTTCGTTTGAGCTCGGGCGTTTTCGTTGTGGGTCTTTCCCTGTCGTTCCAAGTCTCCTTTTTTTCGTTGCAGCGTTGTCCTCCTCTTTCAAGAAGTCTTTCCTCTTAATTGCTTCTCCTTCCTTTTCGTTTAAACTCGTGCGTTTTCGTTGTGGGTCTTTCCCTGTCGTTCCAAGTGTCTTTTTTTTTCGTTGCAGCGTTGCCCTCCTCTTTTAGTAAGTCCTTCCTCTTAATTGCTTCTCCTTCCTTTTCGTTAAAACTCGTGCGTTTTCGTTGTGGGTCTTTCCCTTTCGTTCCAAGTCTCCTATTTTTTTTTTTGCTTTGTCCTCCTCTTTCAATAAGTCCTTCCTCTTAATTGCTTCTCCTTCCTTTTTGTTTGAACTCGTGCGTTTTTGTTGTGGGTCTTTCCTGTCGTTCCAAGACTCTTTTTTTTCGTTGCAGCGTTGTACGCTTCTTTCAATAAGTCCTTCCTCTTACTTGCTTCTCCTTCCTTTTCGTTTAAACTCCTGCGTTTTCGTTGTGGGTCTTTCCCTGTCGTTCCAAGTGTCTTTTTTTTTCGTTGCAGCGTTGTCCGCTTCTTTTAATAAGTCTTTCCGCTTAATTGCCTCTCCTTCATTTTTGTTTGAATTTGTGTGTCTCCGTTGTGGGTCTTTCCCTGTCGTTCCAAATGTCTTTTCTTTCGTTGCAGCGTTGTCCTCTTCTTTTAATAAGTCCTTCCTCTTAATTGCTTCTCCTTCCTTTTCGTTGGACAACGTGCGTTTTCGTTGTGGGTCTTTCCCTGTCCTTCCAAGTCTCTTTTCTTCGTTGCAGCGTTGTCCTCCTCTTTTAATAAGTCTTTCCTCTTAATTGCTTCTCCTTCCTCTTCGTTTGAGCTCGGGCGTTTTCGTTGTGGGTCTTTCCCTGTCGTTCCAAGTCTCCTTTTTTTCGTTGCAACGTTGTCCGCGAATTTTAATAAGTCTTTCCTCTTAATTGCTTCTCCTTCCTTTTCGTTTAAACTCGTGCGTTTTCGTTGTGGGTCTTTCCCTGTCGTTCCAAGTCTCTTTTTTTTCGTTGCAGCGTTGTCCGCTTCTTTCAATAAGTCCTTCCTCTTAATTGCTTCTCCTTCCTCTTCGTTAAAACTCGTGCGTTTTCGTTGTGGGTCTTTCCCTTTCGTTCCAAGTCTCCTATTCTTTTTCGTTGCAGCGTTGTCCTCCTCTTTCAATAAGTCCTTCCTCTCAATTGCTTCTCCTTCCTCTTCGTTGGAACTCGTGCGTTTTCGTTGTGGGTCTTTCCCTGTCCTCTGTCCTTCCAAGTCTCTTATTTTTTTTCGTTGCAGCGTTGTCCTCCTCTTTTAATAAAAGTCCTTCCTCTTAATTGCGTCTCCTTCCTTTTTGTTTGAACTCGTGCGTTTTCGTTGTGGGTCTTTCCTGTCGTTCCAAGACTCTTTTTTTCGTTGCAGCGTTGCCCTCCTCTTTCAATAAGTCCTTCCTCTTAATTGCTTCTCCTTCCTTTTCGTTTAAACTCGTGCGTTTTCGTTGTGGGTCTTTCCCTGTCGTTCGAAGTCTCTTTTTTTTTCGTTGCAGCGTTGTCCTCCTCTTTTAATAAGTCTTTCCTCTTAATTGCTTCTCCTTCCTTTTCGTTTAAACTCGTGCGTTTTTGTTGTGGGTCTTTCCCTGTCGTTCCAAGTGTCTTTTTTTTTCGTTGCAGCGTTGCCCTCCTCTTTTAATAAGTCCTTCCTCTTAATTGCTTCTCCTTCCTTTTCGTTTAAACTCGTGCGTTTTCGTTGTGGGTCTTTCCCTGTCGTTCCAAGTGTCTTTTTTTTTCGTTGCAGCGTTGCCCTCCTCTTTTAGTAAGTCCTTCCTCTTAATTGCTTCTCCTTCCTTTTCGTTTAAACTCGTGCGTTTTCGTTGTGGGTCTTTGCCTGTCGTTCCAAGTGTCTTTTTTTTCGTTGCAGCGTTGTCCTCTTCTTTTAATAAGTCCTTCCTCTTAATTGCTTCTCCTTCCTTTTCGTTGGAACTCGTGCGTTTTCGTTGTGGGTCTTTCCCTGTCGTTCCAAGTCTCTTTTTTTCGTTGCAGCGTTGTCCTCCTCTTTTAATAAGTCTTTCCTCTTAATTGCTTCTCCTTCCTTTTCGTTTAAACTCGTGCGTTTTCGTTGTGGGTCTTTCCCTGTCGTTCCAAGTCTCTTTTTTTTCGTTGCAGCGTTGTCCTCCTCTTTTAATAAGTCTTTCCTCTTAATTGCTTCTCCTTCCTTTTCGTTTAAACTCGTGCGTTTTCGTTGTGGGTCTTTCCCTGTCGTTCCAAGTCTCTTTTTTTTCGTTTCAGCGTTGTCCGCGAATTTTAATAAGTCTTTCCTCTTAATTGTTTCTCCTTCCTTTTCGTTTAAACTCGTGCGTTTTCGTTGTGGGTCTTTCCCTGTCGTTCCGAGTGTGGGTTACCCGCGGACAATGTGGAAAAGTTTCCGTGGGTTAGCCGCGGAAAATGTGGAAAAGTTTCCGTGGGAGGATGTCAGGCG